TGTTAAATCGGTCTAAACTTCTTTCTAGGGGTCACACATCGATCGGTTCGGGTTTGATGGGTTGCGGCGCTTTATCAATCAAGAAAATGCATAAAACTTGTACAGATATTCGTAAAATTGATAAATAAAACGTTAAATGAATTTTATTGTTTTGAGTTGGTGTTAATAGTGGTTAACTGCTTTGTTTCTTGGTCAAAATATTTATAATTTTATTCTTGACCAATTTAATTAATTTTTTTTTTGTTGTTTTAATTTTATTTTTTTTTTCTCTTATATGTATGTGATACAGGTCGAAGATTTGTTTTAAATAAAATATTATTTTCTATATTTGTTAATTAAAAATTATCATTTTTTGAATAAAGTAAATGGAATTCTATAAACAAACAGTCTAGCCCAACATAGCATTTACCCATGTACCCATCTAAGCTATTGACAAGGCAAGCTACCTCCTGCTTATAATTAACGTTTAAGTTTGTCACTACGAATTTTGTTTGGAAGTTAGTTCAAATGCAAATTAACAGGTAACCAGTCTTCTAAGTAAACGGGTTTACTAAAAGTAACCGTATATCGCCAACCTTTTTAACTAGTCAATGTCATTGCCATCCATATATTGCCAGAATCGAAATTAATGTCATGATTGAATGTCATACATATTCAATTAGCTGAATTCGTTGATATCAAACAAGATTTATAAACCTGGATACAACCATTCCCACTTGGACTACCATTTAATGTACTCATTGATTTTAATATCATTATCTCCAAGGAAAGCGTAGAACTTTTTGATTACAGATAATCCCAAGTATGACAAAATTAGTATGGTTGCTAACACAACACATTCACAGGAAACTATCAACAATAGGTCTGTTCCACGAGCTACATTAAAACTCAAGTACAACGCAAGTAAAGTACGAAGTGAGAGCGTAACACAAAAAAGTACCAAATTACGGTCCTTACACAGATTTTCATGGAACAGCTTTGTGTAAAGTCTGATAGGAATACCAGTTCCGCGCAAATAAACAATACAATAATATAAATTCAAACCAAAACAGCTGATTCACACATCACACAAATTTTACTCGAAATAAAATGTACGAGTAAAGTCTCTGTAGCATTTTCAAATTTCGATAGAGATGTTACGCTCTCTCAAATGCTCTCATTTACTTGAAAATTTTCTGGTGGAACGTACAGTGTTACTCAAAGTTATTCGTGGAATAGACCTAATATCTATGTATGGTATTATCAGACTCAAAATTAAATCACATGGTTAAATATCATTGACATTCAAATAACTGGATTCCTCTGTATCATATAAAATGCATTAATCTAGATACAACTATTCCAGCCTAGCCTACGGATTATTATGTGATCCAAAATTAAATACCCGCTATTATTAGTATCAGTGTCAGCTAACACAAAGAACTATCTTTGGCCTTTGACTTATTTTAAGAATGTCACTATAGCACTGTTAACACAATTTGAAACAACACTAACAGGAAATCGACGATAGTATCTTTGACATATAAATAAAATATCATCAGAATTAAAAATGTGATGGTTGTATGTCATTGATATTCATAAAAATAGATTTTACCATCTCTATAATATATAATTTATAAAATTAGATTATGATTATGAAGTTATATCCATTCCAACTTAACCTACTAACCCGACCCAAAATAAAATACCCGTTGTCATTAATATCTGTGTCACCATGGACATCAAACTACCTTCTACTTGGCACTAATCCTAGATTTTTGCAAACCCCAAGTCACTGTATATATTGATGCTAAAATATCTTTTATCAAGACTAATAGAATACTGGCTAACAGAATAAGTGTTATGATATTATTCAAGAATACTTATGAAACTGAATGCAATTATATCCATTCAGTTACTTACTGCTCTACGAACCTAAACCAAATTTATATTCATATTCTTAGATATACTACTAGATATGTATTGTCAGCTTAATATCATGGTTAGATAACATTGTTGTATTATATATTGTTGTATTATTGAATATCAAGTAAAACGTGTGAACTTGAATGTAGCCACTCCCGTCCATTTACACTATGACGAATCAAAAATTACTTAATATCGTATAGCAAAATATAAACGGATAAACCATAAATATGTTAATACCCTTAGTAGAGTTGAAAAATAAAGTAAAAGAATACTTCTCATTCATTCTCACCAGTGGAATATAATGTTCTGCTATACAAGCTATGGTTTATTTCTTCTGTTATATCCAAGATTAAGCGGTTTCTCTTGATGTCTTATAATCTATCAAAAGTCTATAAGAACTTATCCTGATCTACATTACATTCTCAACAAAATGAGTCTGTCTGAAGATACTGAATGTCAACTCTGCTTGGAAATGAATGAAACCTCACTTCACTTTCTCTGTGACGGCCAGACTTTAATCTGAACATCTAATGTTAGGATGTCCTCAACAGCTGACATTCTAGTTTTCATATCATATCTCCTATTAGTGTCAGGGTTGTAAGAATTTTGGATAGAGATGCTCCTAATCTAGACCGGATAACCATTGTACAACGTCATTAATACACAGATTGTAGATGTGTTTTGATAAACATTTAAGTAAGTTGCTTGCTTGGCAATTTGTTTAGCTGAACCATAAACTTGGATCTATTCTTTTTTATTTTTTAAAAATTAAAATAATGTTAAGAAGAAGAAGACTTTTCAAAGTTCCATGGTATATGAGGACGAATGACATCCTTAGGGACATCAAGATTGATCCCATCAAAAAATACATAAGGGATAGAGCCCTGAAATTATTTGCGAAATCTGACAGACTTATCAACACCGCGTTATCAAATCAGAATCGTTATCAGAATGGTTACAGGCTCCTCGGGGAGGTGTGCAGATCTGAGGTCAATTATTGCTTAGTCTGATGAAGTGTTACACAATAATCTAGTCAAGGCACAAAGAGGGGTTTTGAAGAAACCTCGCAGTTAATAGAGAGTAAAAGTGCTCAGGTGCACTGACTCAACTAGCCTCAACATAATAAAGTTTTTGCATACAATTAAGTTACATTATTAACTATCATTAATTTTTACTTTAAAACTTTTATTAATATTTATATGAGTATTTAAATATTTTTTTACTTATCATCTAACATAGATCACGTTACACATTTGATGACAATAGTTTAACAGTATAAAAGTAGAATACTAACTCACTAATATATCTAATTGTATCTAATACTAAAATAAGAAAAATAATGTTTTTATTATTATATATGATATTTATATTAGTATATATCTCAAATAATAATGTTTTTTAAAACCAAATAACTGAAAAATTATTCATGCATAGAAGAATATATAAAGATCTGTATGAAATGAAATTTTCTGGTATTGATTCTCGCATTAAGTAACAAGTTAGCCTATGGAAATTAATACCACAAATAATCTAAAATTACTTATGCTGCAAACTATCTTCAGCAACTTTAAATATCATAACATTTTTAAAGTCAATCTCATCGGACATCTGTTAATCACTAATACGTGGCTAATTCTTGGAGTTTCACACAAGCACGTTTTTACTATTAGACATTATCTCAGCCATCATTGCACTATAATTGCGATTCATTAAAAACTTTATGCAAGTTTATGTGTATAACAGATTTATTACTTTTGACATTTAGAAAAACTGGACAGTACCATACGTATTTCAGATCAAGGCTTAATAAAATCTTCTGAAGAATATCTATGTTCGTAGCATGGTTCATTTCAGCAACAAAAAAAATGTTTAATTTTATATTAAAACAAATTGTTTAGCATAAAATTGTTTGATGAATGCAAATATTTTCATAACTGCATAAAAGATACATTGTTGTTATATTAATTATGAATATTTTGAAATAAAATTATAATTTAAATAATAAAAAAAAATTGTGTGTTCCATGACACGCGACCTTATACGAATGAGACCGCTTTTCTCATTCATAAAAGATATAAGGAGTAAATGAATTTTAAATACAAAAATTGATTTTAAGTCTAAGACAAATTTTTTGACTGATTTATGGTTATTTCTATTATGAATGTTACTATATATCTATTATAAGTAGTCTTTAGAAATGTTTATTTGTCCTTCGCTATATAATTTTAAACTGCAAGTGCCAGTCTTCGAACCTTCTCAAATATAGAACCTAAATTTGTATGTTAATACACTGCGCTAACCTAACACTTAAATTGATCGACCAATATTACAATGAAGCTAACATCAGTGAGGTCGAATACAAACGTGAACTCATATCACTCCACACTGATGCAGTCCCTTCGTCGAGACCTAGACTGACTCCCAACAAGGTTCTCAACAGGACTCCGCCTAATATCTTCTAGAAGAACGTCGTCTCCCCCGTGCAACAAGAATTTTCCTAGCTCAATTGAGATTAGGATATAGCCATTTGCTAAACAGTTACTTGTCACGTATAAACATGTGCATTTCTAATTTATGCCCAAGCTGCAGCTCTACCCCCATGACGTCGCCCATCTGTTCTCTTGTCCCACTGCACACACTAATTCAAGTCCAATGAAGGACTTAAGGACTCATCTCCTTGAGGTAGCTAGGTTTCTACGGCTGGACCCTGGTTGATTTCAATTATATCCTTTCCTCCTTCCTACTATTCCCTTAATTCTAACCCCACCCCCCTACCCATATATTTGTCTTGTAATCCTTAATTGTTACCTGCTCTTCAGATCCCGGCAGGCTACAATAACAACACTTAAATTTCATTGTTGTAATTTGGAGTTTGGATATTTTATATGATTTTATATGGAGTTTGGATATGTTATATATGATTAATTAGTAGCAGTTGTATTAAATTTAAAAAATTATAAAATTAGATTATTTTTTAGAAACAAAAAAAATGTATTTCCATATATACAAAATAATCATTAATAATAAATAATAATTTACATTTACATGTAAAAAAAAAATATCATAACAAAAAAAATTTAATGTTTGTTTATAAATAAAATTCAACTTTATTAAAAATTTTAATCACAAAAAAAGTCTTTATGGTCATAATGAATTCATAAATTAAGGAATGAAGTTATAAGCTAATTTTACTAAATATTTTAAATTAAATTCAATACAATACAATGCCACTTTGCGGTTTTATGCTCGTATAGTGCTTTGACACTATACTGATATTAATTGTTATGGCCATTCATCGTGTACGGTATAGAAACTTAAACCATTGCCTTCTGGCTTATGCCAGGATGGTAATATAACAGTACGCCAAAAGGTTCTAAAAAGTACAAATCTTGATATCATTTCTTTAACAAGCATTTCTAAAACTTACCGTCCTCTAACTAAACCAAGAAACATTTTCCAATTCTTTTTCGGACCGAAGTCATATGGATTAACATAACATCTATTATGACCTGATAAGCGTTTACGTTCTGAATCATTAATATTTGCCTCTATGCTAGTTTCGCCACGTGTGATCAGCCTCGCATGCCAAATGCAGAGTGTACCCAAAGCCAAAACTACAGCCACATTAACAAATGCCATAAACATTAAAGCACGACGTTTCTCTGGTGTTACGGATAATTCATTAAATGTTGGTGTTGGCAAATTATGTTCAGCTGGTAATAATATTTCATCATCATATTCATTACCATGCGTCTATAAAAAAGTTAAATATAAAAAAAGGAACTATTACTCAAGATTTTTCATATACAATATTTATATGATCACTTACCACCGGAATAATATGTCCACTTAAATTAAATTTAACAGGTTGCCCTATTAGCGGTTCTGTTTCTATCCAATTATCACCATGTTCTAACCATAAATAGTTATAGCCTATTTCAAAACCAAATACGATTAGGAATAAACACCCAATCGTAGTATAGGCCATGTAAAGGAAGAAGTATCGATGATTACTATAACCGACGCAGTTATTAAGCCATGCTGCACATAAATCAATTAACATTTATATTTAATTAACTTAATTACATTTACTTAAATGAAGTTATTGCTTAATTTAAGAAAGCCAAAGGTTTGGTATATCCAACTTATTTAGTTGAAAGTACGTCAATTCAGTATTGTTTATATTTGCTATGTAAATATAAATGCTAAATAAATTTTTAAATAGCATTTTACACAAAATAAAAATATCTAATATTAATAAAATTAATAGTTGAAATTAATGTTTAGGTGAAAATACGTCAATTCAGTATTATTTATATTTGCAGTGAAAATATAAATCCAAAATAAAAATTTTTAAATAGCATTTTACACAAAATAAAAATATCTAATATTAATACAATTAAGCTTTGTTGATTTTTATGTTTTGCTTTTTTAAAACACAATATTTAAATATTAACACAATTTATTTAAACTAAAATTAAACAATACACTTTTAAAGATTTAAAAATTAAACGAATAAGTATAATATATTTTAATACATATATATGTATATGTTGGACTTCGTTCAAAGTGTAATAAATTCATATGATGTCTTAGTCCAAGAAACCAAAAAATTGAATGGCTATCTGTTATTACTTTACTAGTAATGTGTATTGAAGTTTAAATAGTTGGAAATACGGAATCCTAAAGAAACGCTCAGCTTAACAATACCAGTCCCCATTACTACCCTCACATCAGAGTTCTATGTCCATAACCGATCATATGCTATGTCCATAACATATGCTGATAGAAAGATTTACCGGCATTTTATAAAAATACACTGCTATTCAGTTCAGTTCCGGTTTTCGCTCTAATAAAAATATTGGTTTTTTTCGGTTCGGTTTCGGTTCGAAGTTTTGAGTTTTTTCAGTTCCGGTTTAAAACAAAAAACATATATCGGTTCGGTTCCGATTTTCGCACCGACAAAAATGGCGAAAAAAGTTTTTTGGTTCCGGTTTGAAGCCCTAGTTAGAAGCATATACCAAATTGATTTATAACTTTGCCCAATCAAGCTGAGAAGATAATATATCTCAGTTCGAGTTAGCTTTAAATTACTATTCCTGCTTAAAGATAATAAGTCTCAATTCGTGATAACTTTAAATTACTGTCAATGCACACACTAAGTTCTTTTCCATTTTAAAACTTCTTAACAATACAACGAGATTAATAAATTTGTAGAGCAGCTGTGTGAAGGCTATTGCTACTCAACATAACAAAAGCTTCCTTATATGTTGATTACTCTAACATAATTTGTATAATTCTTTAATTTATACACTTACGACAATGATGATCCATTTTTAAAACACATTTATTACAAACTGAGCAATGATGAGTACGTGGAGGTTTTGGAAGTATGCATTTCTTACAAATACTAACAGCTTCAATGAGTTGAACACCCTAAACAAGACATTTTATATAAAGGATTTTGATGTAAACATAAAAAATAATATTACCTCAGGTGGTTTCCCGGCTGGAGTAATACTGGCCATTACATAATGAAAAATAACATTTATTAAAAGCCAATTTCCTATTACTAAAAGTATTATAGTGCCTATTGTACTTTTAGCCCACCAATATGGTAAGCCAATCCAATAAGCAATTGTTACTACAGCTGTAGTTAATATAGCTACACCTATAACAAAAAACTACTCAAGAGAGAGAACGGTATGAAATATATTATATCATGGTAGAGTTTTGCATACTTACTGGGCCTAATAGATGTGTATAATTATCGACAATCCAAAAGATCGGTTCCATGCACACATCGGTGGCATAAGAAGGATTTGTGTGTATATTATATGTTAAGGAATGAAAACAAAGTTTCATATAAGCGTAACGTAATTGCAAACGAGCTCTAAAATAAAAAATTTTTGCTTAAATAAAATATTTATTAATATTATTAATAAAAAATGCATACATTAAATTTTTTGTGGAATTTCTCCACCGCCAAGTAAACTTCGTCATTTTGTTTATTCTACTTATTTATAAAACTTATTGTAACTGAATTATTTCATCTCCACACATATATTGAGAAATATTTCTATACTTATTTAATTTTAATAATATTTACATTATCTTTAATTATTGTATTGAACTATTTTGGTTTTTATCAAAACAATTCGTTTTGACATTTTTGACAGCCGAAAAATTACTCTCCCATAATCTAAAAGAGCAAAAAGTGAGTATTACCAGCACAAAAATTTCAAAAAACAAGATAAACCACAAAAAATTACACAAATTAAATGGATTACACTAAATTGAACTATAAGTGTTATTGTTTAGTTTTATGGTTCAAAAAAAAAACATAATGACCTCGAGATAATACTTAAAACGTGGATAATAAATAATACCATTATTCGAATGTAGTCTTTAATAAACAGCATGTTTAAATAAATTAAAAATTTATTTAAAATAAGTTTTTTTTTATATATAAATATAGTGTGATTTGATTTGATACATATATTTACAAATTTATATGTCTACTAACACTACAAAGTATATTAGATTACTCTAAAATGTTGGATTGAGCAACAAAATTTGACAGATCGAGAGTAAATCTACATTAAATCTAGATTTTCCAATTGAAATCGCTATAAGTTTAAAAATATTAATTAAAATTGATTTGCAATACGTAATTACAAATTTATTCACTACTGAAAATTTGTTTTTATTTTAAATTTGTTTTGATTCTCAGCTTTATTTCCTCTTTATTTTTTTGAAACTTGCACCCATATTTACCGTACTAAAAATCTTCGGATGGCATTTACTAAGCCAAAGAAGGCATTTCATTGTGCACTTCTTTACATGAATTTCACATATTTTTTATATGACAAATGTGCTTAAACTTTATATACTAATCGAAACAAATATGAAAATAAGTTTCGATAATGGGTACCTCTACTAAAATTAAATCTGTGTTTTTAGTTACTTAAAACTAGGACAAAATAGTTTTATGTCACCGTAATGTTAAGAGAGTTTAATTCACACGATAAGTGTACGAAATTGATTATAAGCTTGAAGGTTGCAGTATATTAGTATATTATTATATATTACATATTTATGTATACTATTTGATTTTAGCTAGATTTTTCTTGCATAAATTTAAGAGATATCGTATGGGCAGGAACACCTGAACCCTTTTCAGTGAAAATATTACCTATATAAAGCATTGTTTTCTGATATCTTCATAATATGAGAAATTAATTTTTTCAAATTAATTTTTGTAATAAAAATATTATTAATAAAATTAAGAAATAACAAAAACTCTAAAAAATTTCAAGTGTCATAATTTTGGAACGTTGGCATCACTTTATTTGTGCAAGAAAACTATATCAGTCAAAAGTTTTATCTATTCTATACCTTCAAAAACTGTAATATTTTGTTATTAAACGAAAAATTACAAATTGTTGCTGTGTAGTAGGAGTTTTAATGTGTAAAGTATATTTAAAATTTAAAAATGGATGAAGAAAACTTTCCAGACGACGAAGAACGACACGGTAACTAGCGAAAAAAATATATTTTGCAATAATAAAAATACAAATGACGTATTGGTTGATTGCAATTTTGCTATATATTATAGATTCTGAGGGTGATGCAGAAAGAAATGCAAATCCAGTTGTACGTCCTCCAGAAATACAAAATGCACCAAATTTGTCGTTTTCATCTTTGGAACAACTTATGGTGCCAGACTATATTGATGATCCACCAATTAGTCCACCTTCACCAGGCAATGAAATGCAAATTGACATAAGAGAAGAGGATATTCAAGACCCAGATGACTTGAACGCAAGTTTTGATATGTCGGAACCCGACACATCAACTCCTGATGGTTAGCTTAAATCGTATATTTGTATATTTTGTTATTACATCTTTTATTTTTAAACATAGGCGTTGACTCAGATTCAAATCAGCGAACTCAAGATTTACGTGCTGTACGAAATTTTATGTTTGGCGAGGTGAGTGATAACGAAGAACCAGTTATATCACTCAATCACAGTAATGTGGTTCAGCGTTTACGCAATGTTGTTTATAGTTTAGATTCAATGAGAAGAATTAGTATGCGAGCGGGCTCAAGAGATATTCTACGTTTTCGACATAGAACACAGAATTTTGCTGAAAACTCACCTGAGGATGAAGTCGAACCAGAAAATCCTGTTAGATTTGATACTAATCTTGCTGCTGAACACTTGTATATGGGCACAAATATGGATCGGGTTTCTGGTGTTAATTATATTGAACCTGGACAGGAACAGAATTTATTATTATTCTTACATGCTTATATATTATTTCCTGGTGAAGTTTTGCCCTTTATGACTTCAAATATTGTTATTGAGACCGAACTATGTCGGGATAATCAAGCATTCTTTGGTATATGTTTCCCTTTTCTGCGTGACAATGGTAAAAAAGAGATTATGTATGGTGTTACTTGTCAAATATATGAGCGTGGAGCTGACGAAAGAGGTCGCATGCTTTTTAAGTCTCGGGCCTTACAACGTTTTATACTTAATACCAATAATATAAAAGGGTAAATATGAAAAAAAATTAAAATACATTTACAATCTATTATATGGAGAATAATATTGTTATTTTTTTTTCCAGTGCATTACAGGATATAACGGCTTTTCCGCAATATAAATGCTATTGTAATGTTAAGATTCTACCAGAAATTTATTTGCCCGAACCGCTTAATTGTATACAGATGGGTTCGTTAAATCGTTTCCGTGATTTACCCAAAATGCAGCAAAGCTTCCGACGTCTACAAGCCGCAAGCACTTCTTTACCAGCTTACATCTATGAAGCGTACAATATGTCTGGCGTTATAGAGAAAGCACGCACACAATTAGCTGAGCATAAAATAAATACTATGCCGACTGATCCGGTTGATTTATCGTATTGGCTAGTACGAAATTTACATTTACCGGAATACGTTAAAAAAGAAATATTCAAAACTGATTCAGTTAATGTACGCATGAAATTGATTGCTACCACATTTAAGGAGGTAAAATACTCAAAAAAATGTATTTAATTTTTTTTATGGATTTACAAACATTTGTTTTTATAGGAGCCGTCGTTCTATATATGCCGCTTCTGTAGTAATCAAATTGCTGACTGTAAAGAACTTTTTGCTATGTCAAAGCATGGCGTTCAAACACAATATTGCAATTCAGGTAGAGTTTGATAGGTTACCGATGTTATTCCATAGTTAATTATTTTAAGATTGGATAGAATAGGATATTTGCTATTAATAAAGTAAAGGAAATGATCGAATATAATTCGATCTTCAGAAATTTCAAAACAGTGAACACACTTGTAGTCCTAGGCAACAATCTCACAAAACAAGTTAATTTATGAGAAACAAATCATTCTAATTGTGGAGCACTATCTGTACTAATTGTGGAACCATTTTAAAACAAATATGCTTGATATGTTGATTTAAAAAATTATATATATATAGTTAGTTTATTACATAAAAATCGTTTCTTTTTTTAAATTATTTTCACAGCTGGTCACATACATCAGACAAATACGGTTTATCGTGTGGTGCCCAATTCAGTAGTATTTAGTGGAGAAGCTTCATCAGAATTTAGTTGGTTTCCTGGGTATGATCACAAATTATATTGTATTAAGTGGAACAAAACGTTTTATTCATAATTAATTATAATTTTAGGTATCAATGGCATATTATTGTTTGTAATGGCTGCGGACGACATATTGGTTGGCAATTCAAAGCTTTGGAACCAAGTTTGGTGCCAAATATATTTTATGGTATCTCAAGTTCAAGTGTACGTGTAGGTGATTCACGAGATGGACGACGTGATCCACATGAGCTGTACCGTGCTATTATACGTTTGTCTCGGAATGAGCTCCCATGAATATGGAGATCAGTGAAACGTTTTTATAATCGATGTATAGCAAGTTGCTGTTCTTGCTCCATAAGAATTTGCTTACATCGACGACCACGATTCCCTGAGGAAGATATTTAAAGAAATAATGAATATAAAAACGTTTCACAGCTTTCATTCTAGCTTGTAGTCATTTAGTTCATTTTTTTACAATTTTACATACGTTGATTAAATTTTTAAATTCTAAGTCATTAAATCAAATTCATATTCATTCGGAAAAATAATTCATTTTTTAAAATTATATATGAAATTTTTTTATTCCTTAAACTGTGTTTAACTTAAAGAAAGCAAATTTTCACTTTATTGTGGTATACTCTGATATTATAGTTACATATATATATATGTACATATATATATGTATAAATTATTAATTACTTTATGAGAATAAAAGAAAACATAAAAATAAAATATTAATTTTTTATTAACTCCACGAAAGATGTTGATAAGGTCTGCAATGAAAATTTTTTATATTTACATTTAATGTATAAAATATTTTCGTTCTCACCGCTTTACAAAATGGACAATTGCCAAAAGAAACTTTTAGAAATGTTTTCCCATCTGATAGTGTATTAAACCACTCACGTAGACAAACTGCATGATATATCATAGTGCATTGCCGATTGTCGCAGGAGATCAGTGGTATGTCACCATCATCCAAATGATAACAGTAACATATATTACAGAATTGCTGTTCTTCCACAGCACCATCTGTTAATTCACCATCAATTCCCGGTCGCATCGGAAAAAAACATAAATCAAATATACGCAATAAATTTTTATGTATATCCATTTCAGCATCCCAATTACAGAGGCCCTCACTGTAAGTACGTCGCAATTGTTCAACATCTTCTGTGGGTCCAAGTATTTTTAAAGACATAGACGATATGGGTGCAAAAGGATCTGTTATTACTAATTTAAGAAAAACGTGTTCACGTAGTAGAAATAATCGCCAATTATCCTTAGTAGATGGTGAACGTGGTTGAAGTACGTGGCACAACTCATCGATATCGACGAAATTATCATAAAACTCATGCAATTCTTCCAAATATTTTCGAAATTGTTCCAATAAACTATTAAGTGTGAAAAAATTTTGAAATAATGTTTCCCAATTTATACAATCGGGCAAGCTATGCTTGGTTATCTGCAAGCTAGGTAAGGACAACTCTAAAAAGTGTTGTTCTTGTTGATTAAATTTTGAAAAACGTATCAATGTGAATGCCTCATTTAATTCAATTTCAAAATCGTCAGATTTGGATAAAATTGCAATTTCTGTATATATATTTTGCTGCAGTTCCAGCTGCTGTGCATCTGTTATTAAATTTTGTTTTTGTATGCCATTTTTATTCATTAATTTAGGCAAATTTTCTATTAAGTCAAAAACGTTCCAATTTGCTTCTATTTCTGTGTAGGTTTCAGTGAAAGTTTCCACTTTAATTGATTGCTGCACTGATAAATGCATTTCCTCAAGTTTTGGAAATTTCGGACAGATCAATTTAATAGTAAACCATGTTTCCTTAAGATAATAAAAATTTAATTATTAATTAATTATAATATTTCTGTAATAAATTCATTTACAACAAACCTTAATTTGAACAATACCACTTAAACAAAGTTCACCCTTTCTTGTATGACTAGATGTAATGCCTTCATAGCGCAGTAGCAACTGTTCAAGTAAATCTTTGCTATTTGGCATATTCGGATTTAAATAATTTAATATTATTTATTTAAAACTGTATTATAATTAAATATATACTTTTATCATTATTAGTTTAAATCTCAATGTAAAAATTCATTTGATTTTTGCGCGGTAAACAGTAAAAATTTTGTAAACAAAAATCAGCTGTTCCAATTTGCAAGCAAAGTAACAGGGTTGTTACATGTTTTGTAGACAGGTATGAGTATTAAATATCCCAAACTTATCGATAAATTGAACCACTACTGTTAATAACGTTTTATACAAATATTATGCATATATATAGAATAAATAAATATGAATATTATATATACAGTTCACTAGTGTCAATTCGAATACTCAAGTTTCAATTACCAGATTATAAAAAGTTTTCTATTTTTACTAATAATGTAATAAATTCCAAGTTTTATATAATATTGGTCGTGTGCGAGTTAGGCTAAGTTGCGTTCTAAATGAGGGAAATTCTAAGTTGTGCTGATAATGTAGTGATGTGTCGATACGTGTTGATAAATGGCTAAATGTGTGCAGTGCAAAAAATCCTAAAAAATCTCCCATTTGGTTTAGCATCAACTTAGCCTAACTCGCACACGTCCATTATATATATTACATGTTGTATATCTAGACGTTAAATAAAATCTTTATTATAAAATTTGAAGGAGTAATTTTGATGGAGTAAAGAACATAAATAAGTTTGTATGAATTATTGAGAGTTGGTATTATAGTATATACCCATTGCCTTCATTAAAGCAATTTATTTGATTTAGGTCACTAATGAAGTGGCTTAACCGTATAAAGAGCTTTTGTGCTTTTCAACTTGGTTAAGAATAAATTGAGCGAAATTACACCAAAAATATTTTTCACAATGTTCGATATTCGATATATTTGACACATGAAACTAAATGCAAATAAACAAAAAACAAGCAAGTAAAACGTAAGAATTTTTTTTATATCTTTATTTTTTATAAAAAAGTTTATAGATTTTAATATGTAGTTATATATGATATATAGAAATGTATTAATAAATTTATATATAAATTATATACTTGATATTGTTATACAGTATGTTCTATAATTTAACAAAAATTATTCATTTCAATTAGAATCAACTAAAATGTAAGAACAAAAACTCTTCTAAAACTTTTACAGAACTTTCTGACACATAAAAGCACATTTATATACATAAATGAACTTATACCAATGGAAATAACTACATCTTAAATTGATTAATATATGTTACTTTAGTTGTAGTGGGAACATGGCATTATGCCAATGCAAACTATATTTACGGACTATGTGACTGAGCATGACGCTTCACAATATGATTATAGTAAAAATCATTAATTTTGTCACCAAGGTGACACCAAATTAAGGTGCAATGTAGAATTTCATATGAATACCAAAGGTGACGGCATGCGCAACTAAAATAAAATAGTAAGTAAAATAAATAGTAAGTATGAAAATACTATTAAATAAATATGCAAGCAGTTTTATTTGTAGATTATTGATGTATTATTTTTCTTTTCAGGATTATAGATATCACAATAAAGATAAGTTCTGTATTTAAATCATCGCGAAGTTCAGATTACGGGAACAATACATGCTATATAATTTAATATGTATTATAAACAAAAAATTTCATTTTTTACTATTATCTTCTTAAGATTACTTATACTTTTGATATTAAAATAAATTCTCTATTGAACATATTTTAAATTATATTTAGTTAATAGTTCTAAGCATTATACGGAAAGATTAAAATGTATATTACACAAGAAAGTGCTTCAAAGTGATTATGATCATATATTTAAACCTTTTATTAAATGATCATAAAAAATGCAATATAGATTATTCATTTTATCACGTAATCTTTATTTGATTTTTTATTGCTATATTATAATATAATTTAACCATAATTATCATGTATATTTATGGTATTTCAGCTTAAATTAATATCCCCTCGAAGTATTAGTTTTCAAAAAGAGACAACGTATGGTATAAGATTGATAAAATTTTTAAAATGTCTAAATTTTATGAAACATTTTTCTATATGAAGTCTGATTTCAATTTTTCGGATGTTAGTACTAATCTTAACCAAAAAAAAAAACAAAGCAGCGAGACAAGACAAATTTCAAACAAAAGCTTTTAAAAGCCGAGTTAATTACGATAGTCTAAACATAATGTAAATTTGTTGCTTTTAGAAAAATGTAACGATTAAGATTATAAAGAGTATTAGGTCGTGTGCGAGTTAGGCTAAGTTGCGTTCTAAATGAGGGAAATTCTAAGTTGTGTCGATAATGTATTGATGTGGCGATCGTGTTGATAAATGGCAAAATGTGTGCAGTGCAAAAAATCCCAAAAAATCTCCCATTTGGTTTAGCATCAACTTAGCCTAACTCGCACACGACCTTAGTAACTCTATTCTTATTAAGGACGTGTGCGAGTTAGGCTAAGTTGCGTTCTAAGGTTGTGTGCGAGTTAGGCTAAGTTGCGTTCTAAATGAGGGAAATTCTAATGGCTAAATGTGTGCAGTACAAAAAATCCCAAAAAATCTCCCATTTGGTTTAGCATCAACTCAGCCTAACTCGCACACGACCTAAATGAGGGAAATTCTAAGTTGTGTCGATAATATAGTGATGTGTCGATACGTGTTGATAAATGGCTAAATGTGTGCATTGCAAAAAATCCCAAAAAACTCCCATTTGGTTTAACATCAACTTAGCCTAACTCGCACACGTCCTAAATATTATAATCAACTTATTTTATTATTATATATAAAAGAGATATGATCATCTTTTTAATATGTAGTTCAATATTTATTCTTTATCATAAAATCGGTGGTGTTTATTTTAAACCTTTAGTTACAGATCTCAAAAGATGAGTTAATAATTATTTGATAATAATTATTATCAAAATAATATTTGATAATATTGATTCTTATTGATTGATTTTTCAATAAGATTTTAGTTTCATCAAATTTATTATTTCTACCTGCTTCGTCTATTATTTTATATAATTGTCAATAAGTATGTAAAGGGTTAAAATTTATCAAAGACACTCAGCATTCAAAAATTTCTTTTTTCTCAGTTTATTTTTTAATACATAAATAAGAATTTCTTTCATAAAATTAATTATGAGCCTTCCGTAATGATGGTCTCTATTGATTAAAAATTGTGACCAATTTTAGTTAAACGTCAGTATTATCGAACGTTGGCTTTGATAACATTTTCGAACACCTGCATTTAAATAATCTGTATAAGCCATAAAATCAAATGCTGAACATATTTTATTTAACTGATCAGCGATTATGGGCTCTGTTTGCTACGACAATATATTATACTTATATACTTGTAAAGTTAATGATGAAAACTAAACTTTGCTATAAAAGATAAGTGAAGTGTATTAATAACGTTTATTCGGTAATTTGAATCATACGCGGTAGTAATACTTTTTGCTTATTCCTTCCGTTGCCTATATTATAATAAAAATTAACAAATATGTTGCCAGTAAAAATTGCTTTATTAATATTTTGTTTTACAATTGTAACAGCAACAACTGTTAAACAGTGTAAGTTTTATATTAATTAAATTAAAATCAGTTAAAAATAAATACAATATTTTGTGTAATTCGAAATGTGATCAATTTTGATGTTTATCGTGTAAAAAGTTATCGAAAATGATATCGAATAGTGCGGTTCAGAGTGATTTGCAGTTCTTGCAGTATTACAGCATTACTAACTCTGATAACAGTGTCTAAATCATGATTATGTACCATATCGTATATATCATATATATATATATATTTTCTTTTTTAAATCATATCAATTACGTTCCAAATATTTCAAAAAAAACACTCTTGAACTTTGAAAGAATATATTGGTTTTTTTCCTTGAATTTTATGATAGATAAAATATTTTAAAATTAAATCAAGTCATTGATCAGCACATTTGATTTTTAATTCATTAAAACTAGTTAATTATAATATAGATTTTATATATAAATTTGAGTTCATTTTTTTTTTATTAATTAAATTGAACTAATAAATTATTTCATAAAATTGAAAAATATATATGTAAATCATGTATTTCTTATATATCATAAATAATGAATCAACGTAGCTGCAAATCGGTTGCCATAATCTTCAAAATTTTATTTTTCTAAATATAAATAGCTTCAAACCTTGGGTGCAGTTGTACTTTTTCGTAGTATATGACAAAGTGTTTTATGATTATTTTGCTATCTATATAATACTAAAAGTTAAGCTACTTAATCACTTTTAAACTAATATGTATTAATATTACAGTTAAGACTCCCATAAAAACCATTTAAAACAATTAATTATTAATATTTTTTGTGAAAGATCTCATTTTAGAAATCTTCAATACCATTTTTCTATTAGATAGTTCATGTGAAGTTTCTACAGATTCTACAGATATAGTTTACATATACTATATAAACTTGTATCAAGTTTATGGGTTCTACAGATATGGCCTATATATATATTTTATTTCACATTGAATTTCAACATCTGTTATGACGAAAGAAACTATTTTCTTAATATAAACTCTAGAGTTTTTACTAGAGACATTTTTGAACAGTCGTGAACTGCAACAACAAAATTTTATTATTTTTAATTAATCGAATTTTTGGCTGATCAAAACATGTGTTTTGAGTATTGCTAAATAACCATCTTAAGTGTTGGTTTGGATATATTTCTTATATTTAATTATATATTCTGTAATGCTGAGAGCATTGATAGATGTGTCTGGTTATCTGTTAGAATATATGATTTTATATATTGTAATTGATTACAATAAATTAAAATGTTCTTACAGCTTCGATTCTAGCAGAAACTCCTCGGTACTAATTTTAAATAGATAGTTCATTCGAAGTTTGTAGTTTCTACAGATCTTGTCTATATATTTTTTGTTTATATTCTCACAAGCGGGAATCACTTACAATTATTGCTGAATCTGTATTTGGTTACATTATCTTACATATTATAATTAATTATCATAAATATAAATATTCTTACAGCTTCTAATTCTGATATCAATAGGATTATATGTGCACTGCATAGCAAATAGAGATATGAAAATGGGTGAAAGTGAGAAAGGGACAGAAATTAGAAATATTTACATTAATATTTATTTTCAGTTGAAATAAATGGCATATGTCATATCTTCTTATATGATATAGTAATTTTTAATAATACAACAATTTTAGTACTGCTATTCAGATTAATATATTAATCACAGTCAATGAATCTTGATTCAATGATTCAATGAAGCTTGAATCATGTCTTTACAATAAAAGTGAAGGTAATACTAACGAGATACAGCAGAATAAGGAATCTAGGAATCTAATATATTTCCGATTCGAAATAGAGACCAATATTTTTTTTATTAATACTGCTGAGAATATGAAGTTCACACATAGTCAGTAATAATTCTACAGAATATTACAGGTTTGGCCAAATTAGTCCAAAGCCGCGTAAATGAGTATATAACTTTTACCCATTAGCCCATTGTGCTACCGTATAAGACCACTTTGAATCGATAGCAGGACTTAAATTACTCTTTAAAGGAAGGTTTTGAAACTGGCTAAGATTCTCTAGAAAATAAGCCTTTATAAAGATTAATCGTCGTTATGTTGTAGTAAAATATATACATTAACTAGATATGTAGAAGTAATTTTATAATTACAAAAAGTCAAGTCTTAGGAAGATCGAAAAAGAATTTTCATCATAGAAGAATAGCATAATCGTATTGATTATATAGATTATTAGCTGCATATTGATACAATTCATATTAAGTAACCGTGTAGGTCACTTGCTATAGCGCATTATTCTTGCCGCGTCCATATACAGAAAAGTATATATTATTTAAATATGTACTATACATACATATATATCTAGCAAACAGTATTTTAAATACTTTAAAAGATTACCTTGCGAAAATCGGCAGAACCCACCTGTCAATGGTTCTCTTACCATCTAAACACTAATTAAAAGAAATTATTATAACTACATAAACTTATATATTCTTATTTCTTTATAATTTTAAATATATTTCACATTTATATAAAGGTAGGTAAATGTCTATACTCTTATTCTGAAAGAGAATATTAGATTTGTTTATCAGTAAAATGAAAAGATTAGTTAATCTATTGCCAAAAGAGAATTATCGGAGAAATTGCAAATATATTTGTGGTTAATGTTCTGGAAATTAATGCGAATAATGCGGTTAGTAAATACCGAGTTTTGACAAAAATTATCTACCAAAATTTGTTATCTATAATTCCTTATTAACATATATTTCGGGTTCAGTTGTTTAAGAGTTGTATGGCCTATAAGTATACTTCCAAAATTGTGTACCAGTAATTCCTTCTAGCTGCGTCTTTGGATTTGATATATATTAACATAAAAATGTTAAATTCTGTAATTCTGCTAAAAAGTTATTAAAATGGTTTGACTAAGTCTATAAGGATGTGGTATTTCAATTTTAATTAAAAGTTAGATAATAGATGGTTTTTTTTGTTTTGATTTATTATTTATTATTATTATTTATTATTTTTATTCTCTTATAATCTCTCTATAGGAAAAGAGATACTTCCTACAATGTACGAACACCAAGAGCTGTACTTATAATCCAACAGTACCATTAGATATCATTATGTGTGGTTCGGGCTTGTAAAACCCGAACAATATAAACATTAGGAACGTAATTAATATTTTTCCTTTTCGTTTAATTTTTATAATAATTACTAATTAATTAAACATAGTTTTGTGTATTGAATTCATTCATTTAAAAATGAGTTTAAAAAAATAATTAGCACTTTCGAAGCTGTTCTTAAATTATATTGTATTAAAAGCTATACTTTTCGGAATTGGGTTTTGAATTATCCAAAAGCAAAATATTTTTTTAAAAATTGAATTATCAAAAAATTTTTTAATAAAAAATATGATATAGTTAATTATATTTTAACTTTACAGGCAAAAAAGGGCAACCATTTCCATTAAACGTCACCATAAACGATTGTGAAGAACCACCGTGCAATATTGTTAAGGGCACTACAGCTATTATGGATATGCATTTCGTCAGTAGTAAGTTTTTTTATATAAAAATAATGCTATTGATATTAATAAACTATTTCAATTTAAAATTCCAGCTAAAGATAATATACGTAAATTGACCGCCAAAGTTAGTGCAACTACATTAGGATTAACTGTACCGTATGACCTTCCCGAAGAAGTATCCGATGTTTGTAGTAATTTGCTATATGGTGCTATTTGTCCAATCGATGAAACTGAAGATGTGGTTTACCGACTTAACTTCTATATTGATTATTTATATCCAGAAATAAGCGTTAAAGTGGAAGTATCCTTAATGGATGAGGATAATGAATCTGTGGCTTGCTTCAATGTTGATATTAAAGTAAAGAAAGGTGCTTCAGCAGCTTTGATTGAATAAAAATGTAAAAAACTATTAGCGCTATGATGTACCTTAAACACAAATTACTAATTTTTAAAAAAGCAAAGTAATTATTTAATTTAATGGCTGTATATCTTTTCATCTCTGCGAAATTTGCTTCGTCTGTTGTTAGATTATCAAATTATGAAAATAAAATCAAATAACTAAATATGACAACATAATTTAAAACTTTCTGCTTAATTTTAATTTATGCTTTGCAAATGTTTCATCAAATATAGTCCAATTTTTATTTATGCTTATTTATGGCTGTACCTACAACTACATAACATAGCTTTCTTATCTGAATTCTCCAATGACAGGATTGTTACAGGTAAGCGGTTGAAAATGTGAGACAATGTGGTTTAGGAACACATTTGGAACATTTAAATAATCATCTAGATAACTGCCAATATCATGCAAACAAACGTTAAAATCATATACATTGCTTTAAGAATATTACTCAGCTGTACACTTTCCATTTAAGAGCTTATTATGCTTTACTAAACGTTTGATATTATGAAAGACCCTCAAAGGATTATTTATCCACACAACCGTTCATAAAGCCTAAGTGGATCTTTGTTGTCATCGACTAAACAAAATTTGACCTAAAATGGATTAAATAAGAGGACTGTAAAAATTACGTGCTTCAGATTATTATTGATAATAACATATAACGTATTAGTACAATATAGGTAAAATATTTCTAGACAAAAAATGAACGAAGTTATTCAATTAAAATTGACAATATTAATAATACTAAAAAACAACTATTTTTTTCCCAAACACTACACGGCAACAGGGTATCTTTATTTGTAAAATGTAGTCACTAAAAACGTTGCATGGTTATATACGTTAAAGTAGAGGGGTCATATGTGGCACAGGCCCTTTTGAAAACGACTGATTAGAGTTAGATCAGTATCAATCAGAAGAATAGCTTAACAGAACCTATGCGACAAACTTAACAGCGACGAATACAGAACTTAATCTGCGGGTTGCTAGGATATTTACGCTATGAAGTCAGCTGCAACTATCCCGAGTATCTGGGAACGGTTAAGTCCAAAAAACCGCAGTCACTAGCTGAAAGCATGCAGATCGAAATACGTTGGTCCATACGGGTTCGAAGATGAAAGCTATTGATGCCAACAATGCTGAAAGTCTTTGAAAATAAGGAAAGTATAGATTATTAAGCTTCAAAAAACGAGCTATTTAAATGCACTTGGGGGCTATACTTGACCTTAGGCTAAATATACTAAATTATTTACTTATGAATATATTATAGTTTAAGTATAGTCTAAATAATAAAGTAAAAAATGTTTATTGATTGTAAATAAATATTCGCGTCTAAATAATAAGTTGTTTGATTATATGAATTAAAATATCTAAAGATATATCTGTAATGATTGTCGCTAAGATGAAATTCGTTTAAGATTGCACTGTTCAGACCCCTCAATAATGACTGAAGATAATAATTTTAATAGCAATATTTTTTTCTCTTAATATAAAATGAATCACAAATTCCAACGTTGAACTTATCAAAGATTATCATTAATGAATTTAATTAATTAAATAATAATCAAATACTTGGTCAAGTGACGTTTTTATTTGCACTTAAATATTTATAAATCCATTTACTTTTTTCTACTATTTTTTAAATATCTTTTATTATAAACAATTTAGGTTTTTAATTGATAAGTTTGGCGTGTGAATTTTGGAGTGTTTGATAACAAATTTTGTTCCTATTAATTTTTGCAAAGAGGTAAGTACAAATATGCACTGGAAAAAAATTTATTTTAGTTTTTTTATTCTTCTGAAATATAAAAATTCACAAACAAATAATTTAAATTAAAAAAATCTCTTTGCATTATTTCAAAAATAGTCTATATAGTAAGAATTCGGGTATATAATCCAGCAAAGTGTTTAAAAGATACCTTAAAAGATACTTCGTGTTACAATCACATAACATATTATTCGATCTAAAAACGTTCAAGCTTTTGATTGAAAGTCAAAATGTCCTCTTTAAGTAGTTTCCAATATCAGACAGACGATATAAGCTCTAGTCCCAGTAACCTCCTTCCTATTGACGGTTAAATGCAATCTAAATCAAACAATAAATGTTGAAATCTGGAATCAGACTCACTAAATTGGTCTTACTGAAATCAATGAGAAGGCTACAGTTTTTCTTGTGACATCACGTCGCGTAGGCTGTAGACTATTAATTGCTGTGATCATTGGTCATACCACTTGCGGTAAATATCTCTTTCAGCTTGGCTTTGCGGACAGCATCATATATCCACTTTGGTTATAGGATGATGACTAAAACTACATTATAGTTCTTGAGTCTCTTGTTGAAGGTAGCTGTGTAGTTGTTACCGTTTTCCGACAAATACTTTTCTAAAATGTTGGAAATTGATTCTCAATACAATGGACCTTCACGGTCTAAATGTTATGTGTATATTTTCACGAATCCTAAAAGGAGGTTTTCGTGAGTTTAAGGTTTCATTCGATGGCTTTTGATAACTTTCAAGAGCTGAAAAAAGATCTCTACATAATCAGATCAAAGCTGAAGTGTTAAAAGTTATAAGGTTATAAGGTTATACAATAATCAAATATAGAATAGTAAATGATAATTATGATAATAGTAAATTACAGAATGAACCTAAAACACCATTAATACCCAACAGTCTTCCATTATAAATAAAATCGGAAATTAAATATTATCATGAAAATAATAATAGTTTTTTTAAATGTTAATATAAAATAATGGTTCACTTCTTATGGAGCTAAAGATTTTAACAAATCTGCATCATCATGGTCTTCAAGTGGTTCACTTCGTTGGGTGATTGGAACCTTGTTAATTTCTATATTCAATTATTTATATACCTTAAAATTATTATTATGAACCGATCACTACTTTTTTAAAAAATATTTTCACAATTTTTATTGAGTGTAACTTATCGGGCATAGCTTATCTTCAGTTGGTCATTTGGCAAGGTCTTATTGTCTTGGCTGAGCCAAGAGCACCCAACCACACATTCTTCACCTTATCTATCCGATGCAACTGCTTATACTATTTATTTATTTATTTTTTTTTTGTTTATATATTTCTGGTACTTTTTTTTTATTTTTCGCTTCATATTCATTAAAATTGGCCAAATGTCCTCAACAACAGGTGTACAACGAAGAATTCGTTTGTTATCTGGACGGTGTGTTTTTGGTTTATTTTTGGCTATAAAATGTACTCGGTGTAGGAAATATAAAATATTATTTTTGTTTTTATAAATTAATACCAAAAACAAAATAAGCCAAAAAAAAAATTTAAGTGCAAATTCAAAAGCAAATTAAATATAATAAATTACTTATCTATAACAGTAGCGACTCTTAGTTTATATGGTCCATAAACTATGATATTCCAGAAACATTAATGTTGACATTTTTAACGTCATTTAAGTGCAAATAGTGATTGATTATATGTGACTACTTGCCTTATGTTTAAAATTATTAAGTTTTTGATAAAATAGGTAAAGATATAATAAGTATTAATTGTAAAAGATTATTTTTAATAAATGAAGTCCGCGATGAAGCAAGTTTGTGAAAAACTTTGAGTCTATGAGAAGTTAATCATAATTTTATATTTAAATTTTATAATATGAACTATTAGATAATATTAAATGTTGGAATTAGTATACATATTACTAATAGATTTTACTATTGATAGATTTTAATATAGCTTTTACTTCTGAAAATATCTGAGTTTATTTTTTAGATTTTATTTATTTATAACATCGGTATAACAAAGTCAGAAGTTCAGAAGTTTTGGGCTCATTGCTCAGATTAGTTTGTATATTCATAGATACAATAGATCTCGACGAATATTTAAAAAAATCAGCTTTCTTCGTATATAAATTTTTTTCTTTATTTTATCGAGGTCATACATTGCATTGCACAATCCTGCACAATACACCATTATCACTGTTATATACAACGAAGATTTTGGGACTGAAACCCCCCATATTGCATGTTTTTTTTAATTAAAAATGTTCGTAGGATCTTTAAATTACTTTTTAAAAGCTTCCCTAAATAACTTGAGGTATGAAATCATTTTTAACTTCATCGATCCATCCTTTTCTTCATCGTACTGTTTTATGAGTTCCCAAAATCTCACATACGAGTCTTATTCGCTGCTGTCTTTAAATAGATATACTAGTTATGTGCAGAGATATATTTAAAAATATGTATTCTTTTCCGGAAATTATTTTGTGTAGGCTCTCTATGATATAATAAATAAATGTCATTGTTATTTGATTTTTAGCTGTCTGTATGATGAACAGTTCAACTCAACTTATAAACTTATAGAAATTAAAATGAAAATACCACACTTCCTGCAGTGAAACATGCAAGAAATACATAGAACCGGGCATCATAAAAATCCAGAAATATGTTCTATCTTTCTAATCGGTTTCTCAAATAATTAAGACCTTTGGACCATGATGTGAACTGTCTTTAAAAATCCAATAATCAGTTTCTTTAAGAATGTATACGGACATTAACCACCTTCAATCATTCAGTTATGATATTATAATAGACCTATCAGGCCTTGTATGGTCTCGGTCAGCTAGCTCTATCTACGTGCCTACTAATCTACCTTCATTAAGAAAGGCACTCTAAGTCAATGGTTTGACTCAAATATATGACACAAAAGAAAATATGTAAATAATAGAGTGAAAATAATTAAATCCAGCATCGAACACAACGGTTTATCTGTTTAGACATTTATGTTACTGTGTTGCTGCCAAGCAAGTTTTTAACATACTGTAATTCGATTCCTTTTATTTTCATCAATTAACTTCTTTATCTTGTTAGAAACAGTTTTTCAAACTTAAGATATACTGTACTCAAAATAAGATGAAGGGTAAAACAATCATTATAAATTGGTAATTTTACAATCAAATCGAAGCAAACGATTATATACCTATCTCGCTCATAGACCACTAAAGGACCACTTCTTATAGCACGCTTTAGGCTTTGTTTAAAGTTTTATATAGTTTTAACTTTTTAAGGATTTGTATGGTAATATAAAGGACTAATAGGATTAAGAAGATCCCTAGCATTATGTTATAACCTGCCTATCCACTCTATTATATGCTGAGATTGCCAGGACATAAGCCAATATACTATAGAAGTATGCTATAGAACCCCAAGAGCACAAATTGTGATGGTTTAGTCAAATTTATGTTGGAGAGAGCATTTCAATAGAAAGCACTTCTTCAAGGTTTTGAACATATGGTGTTGGGCGTCGGGTAGTACTGTCGCATATAAAATCAGTATTTTCTATCAACATTTTCTTTAAGTTTATTTATTTGTACTAGTAGAATGTTGTACAAAACTGTTCTATCCGACTAAATTACTATTCTATTATTTGTTCTATTATTCTTAGCTATATAGTATTATAAAGCTATAATATTATTATTTTAAGAATATTAAAAATTATTATTATATATTTAAGGGCGGGATCTGAACTTTTGTTGTAATTTTTTAATACTTGCAGTTAACTATACAAATTATATTTCCTTTTAAGATATTTTTACTTACACAAAATAATATAAAAAAATTTAATAAATGTTAAATATGAAATAAGTAACCTTTAGTAATCTTTTAAAATATTTTAAAAGGTTACTAAATACTATAGCTTTCTAGGCAAAAGCATTTCGTATGCATTTACATTTTGATGTGCTGTAATACCTGTGCAGGCTTTTAAAATACATTAAATATTCAAATGTTTTGGGATTATTAAATGTGTTGTACTGCCACGGGAAGTACACCACATATATACATATATACAATATGACAACATCACATAGAAAGATACATCAAAATATTTCAATAATGCGAGTATTTCGAGAAAGTAACATCAAACAGGAATAAAAGCAAAAGCAATGCCAAGTTTCAAGGAATTAGTTACTCCAATAAAAGGGAAGCGTCATGACTCCTCAAACTTTCCCAAAAAAAAAAAAATCAGAAATTCGACAAATAAAAAGGAAGAACCACTAAAATCGGATTATGGTAAAAAGTTATAAAAAATGCACAATCTTTATATAATACTATTATTTGCAAAAATAAATTTTTTTTATTCCAAAAATGTGAGAGAAAATAATTTATCACAGTTTTCCAAAAATTTCATAAAATACTTTTAATACATATATAGTCTTTAAGATACTTCTCATGTCTTTGAATCATAGACTTATTCATAACTTAATTCCAACTTGGAATTTCCTTTTTTCACTTTAATATCGCAAATGAAGCAAGTAGCAATCTCATCATCCTGATCGACTAGATAAATTTCAATTTTCACACTGATTTCTGGATAAGAACCGACAGGAAAGAGAAAGAGATAAGTTACATCTTCTGTTGGATAGAGTGGACAGTAGGCACCATACATTAGATTCCGGCAAACATTGCTAGTCTCTTCGGGCAGCTCATATGGCACACTAATACCAAATGTGTAGGCTTTCACTTTAGTTGTGAGTTCAGAAACATCTCGGTCTATGAAAAAAATGTTAAATTGAATAGAATATTGTAAAATTTGAAAATGTTAATTATAATTACTTACGAGATACAAAATGTATAAACATTTCCACTGTTGATCCTTTAAGAATATCACAAGGTGGTGTCTCGCATCCGGTTACGTTTACTGATAATGGAAATGGCTTATCACCGGAACCTACAATCGAATAATAATTAATTTTTTTTATTATTGATTTTAGGCATATTTCTTAAAACGTACATTTTTTCACATCTGTCGCTAATACCGTAGAAAAGGCGCTAATTATTACAAAGACAACGAGACGTGCTATCATCTTCAGATTTTTCAGTTTGACTCTGGAGAGAAGAAAGTAAGTTTAAATATATTTTTTCAACTTAAGACTGCTGCTAAGTTTACTTAGTGAATGCTCGTATTAGCTGGTTTACTTTACATTTATAGTTAGTTTGACATTAGCCGAATAGTATGGACATATATATAATCTTATCTGGATTTTGTATTAGCGAATAGCAAAATTTCGCTGTAAAATTTAAGAGAAAGTTTTTCAATTCCCAACAATTGAGTGAAATTGTAGAGGGGAAGTAATCTGACTTTTTGTCGAAATATTAGTACTCGAAGATTATTACAAACTATAGCACTGGAAATTTCAGTATTCTTTTAATCTTCATAACGTTTGAAAATAAATAATATTCTCGGATTTAATAATATAATTCGTAATGTCTGTTGTAGACTTGACCCTAATACTGATTATAATCCATAAAAAAAAAACAAAATCGTTAGAGTAACGCAAGGAAACCATATGTGGCTGTCTAAAAAGCCTCTTACTCGATTCAATAATTTTATTCAATATTTTTTCAATAATTTTGATCGCGAAAGATTCATTAAAATTATTTCAATTATATTATTTCAAAGAATATGTACTTTATATATAAAACTTAAAACGAATCAAAGATTGCACAATATTTCACAAATACACATATATTGTAGTTAAATAGTTTAGTAAAATCGGTCCGATAAATACTGTAACATTTTGAATAGAGACGTGAAACTAGATAGTAATAAATGGTGGTCTTAATTGAATATTAAAATTAATTCCTATATTCTGCGACCACAAAATTTAAGTTGGTCCGGGGCTACAATTATTTCTTAACTCAATTGACTAATACGAAAATATGTAAATTCGTTGGAGTTCCTTTATATGACGGATTTGACAGTATAAAAACAGCTGACAAGCTTTCCAAGAAGAGTGTTTTAACTTCCCTCATAGGATCTTAACAGGATATCTTATCAGTACAAGAAAACATGGAATATAGGTTGTCTGTTAGATCGTGTAATTAATCCAGAGAGCAGTTAAGAAGAGTTGGTAGTTAAGAAATATGTTGAAAGGTTTTTCAACCCAAATAGATAACTACATCACTGCTCTAGATTAATCCCTGAAATCTTAACTGGATATGTTTCTGTCAATCACCACCTTTTAAATGAAAAGTAATTACAATATGTAGAGTAGAGTGTAATGTCAATTCGTTTTATCTACTCGTATTTTAGAAATAATATAATCGAGTGTTATCTTGAAAGAGTAGAGACTGTTACGTTCACCAGTACCCTAGTTAGTTCAAATTAGTTTATAAGACTTTCTCTAGAGATGCGACCATGGATATTAAAGGTTACTGTGTATTATTGTCAATGTTTAGTTTCTAAATAAGTAATAAATAAAAATAATTAAAATAAACTAATTATTAAATTAGCTGTAAAATGAATACTGATATTTTATTGTGTATAAATTATAGGCTTTCTAGAAATTAAAGTAGTTACCTTGCTTAAATGTAGTATTTATTTAATTTTATTTTCTACTAAATTATTTTTATATGAATCTTATTAAAATATTTAGCACGACAGCCATATTTTATTTGTGGATATTATGATAATAATTTTTTTTGCATTCTCCATGTCGTATTAGTTGTAGATATATTATGATCAATGATCAGCGATCACTGGTCACCTCTTACAAATGACTTAAGTAGCTTTCATTTAGTAATAGCAAGCTGTGAGACTTTAACTGCTGAAAACTTTAGTCCTTTATTACTATACTCTTAGCCAGTTATCAAAACGTCTCTTCAAAAGCATGTTAGACTCTGTTTAGGATTCAAAATGATTGTCAACCGTTCTCTAGCAAAACATATATTGGTCCTTTTACTGGTACATTGTATCTACTGACAGTTTCGTTCTATTTTCGAGTCAGCGCAACTGGGCACTTTACTCTGTGATAGCTGGTGGTACTACAGAGTCCCACCCATCTCATTGACTAATTTATGTATTCCTTATAAGCTTCATAATTATTCAGTGCTTGATCTAAGATCTGCGTACCTCCGCATGCGGAGAGTGATTATTCTAACATTAGATAGTGCTAAGTAGGATAGCCTGTCAGTTTTCGCATATAACTTCATGGTTCTGTCCCTTATGTATTTTTTGATCGGGTCTATTCTAAGGTCTCTTAGCATGTTCTGTAAGTGTATTATTAATATTTTAGCCAATTGCAAGTTTTTCTCTTTAGGACTATTTTAGGTTATATTTAGGATTGAAAATGATGTTGAACCTAAGAGCAATGCTCAAAAGCATTGTTATTGCTTTATGATAATTTAATACAATTATTTACATAAACTTATATTTTTAAGAGTACATAAAAATGTTAGTAGGAATATAATAAACTATATACTTCTCTGCATTTTGATTATCTCCGCAAGATGTATCATCTTGTGAGAGAAATCCATTTTATTCACTTTTGAACTCTTACTAATGTGTAGTATAGTCTTAAAACGTTTGTCTAGATATTATTTAGGTTTGCTTTTATAGCATTTGTCTGGTCATCATTTTGGACTGTTATCATTATTGTTAGACAAACCCACTTAAATATGAACAATAATAAGCATTTTGTTAAATAAGTAAATAAGTGATTTTACTATAAAACTGATAATGGTGATAATAGGTGTACTCAAGTATTAGTCATTCTCAGTAGTATTCCCTGGCATTTGTATTATAATAAATTTGATTTAAAGCTTATTTAATCTTTAAGTGTGGCATTGGCGTAGTACTAAATGTGTTGATTGACTTTAAATAAAATGACTCACTAAAAAATATAAATAATATTTAGTTGCAAATTAGAAGTGCTTTAGTTCACTATAATATATTAGTCATACTTCCAATGGATGTTGTAAATAATAAGCCATAAATGTGTTAACAAAATATGCTATTATATTTGCATTCGGACCGATTCTAAGTACTTAGATACTTTAATACTGACTATGAAAATAGCAAAAGAATATATCATAAGTGAACATCAAAAAAGTTAAATGAAGAGCAAAGCATAAAAAAAGGATATCAGCTCACTTGGGATTATGCACATATAAGCATACAGTAATACAGTAGCAGGATTCTAGGATATATTGAGGGATATTGAAAAAATGTAACTGTGGTAAATTATTTGCACAGCAGGCGTAGCAGTTACATTGTCATTACTTTATCGTGTATCGAACGCAATCACAAATTTTTGAACAAGGATTATTATTTGCACTACACACAAATAAAATCAGGCGCTACACATATTATTGAATATCGATAAGGCATAAAATTGATATATCATCGAGCACTGCAAATAAATATTTAACATTTCGTTGAATGAAGAGAAAAGGACGAAGGTGCATGGTGAGAGGTTAGTGAAAAATTCATATTGAATTTTATTCGCCCTAATAATATTTAAGCTTTAAATAAGTAGAAGAAGAAAAAATTATAAACGAAATCTAAAGAAGCAACAAAGATTCTATCTGTCATTCTTAATGGAATTTAACTAATCCATTGGCGTGTGTGCTTCCTCTTTATATGGATTCACATGTGCTGTCATATACGACAATTACACAGTCAGAGATGCTCGCAATGAAACTCACACCCCTTATTCACTTTTCCCAACAGGTGAAAATATGTACTGAAAGAAAATTAAAGGCACAGAAAAATTTTGTGACAAATTACCACAGACATCGGGTCGGGCTTTTAGAGAGGGGGTGGTAATTTCTATGATACAATAGATTTAGTTATTTTTTTTCTATTCTGATTTTGTCGCTGTATTTGGTGAACATTTTTTTTTTCTATATTTTGATTATTTTTCCCAGTTTTTCCTTTGAAGTTATCTTAAGTATACATTTTTGGAAAAATGTCTGGACAACCTTTTAAACATTGCTTTGGCTTTGTGGGTTTAGTGACAGGAAAATATTTTAAGAACTATTGTCAGAATTTTTTTTTATTTACAATAGTTTGAATCTGTTTTAAAAAATTTTTAAATTTATAATATTATTAAATTCATAGAAAATATGAAATAATAATTGCTTTATATTCGATTAAAATTTGTACACTGTTTACCAAATTGAAAAGTGAATATTTCTACAGATATCGAAAATACTAATTTCATCTACCGAGTTATGGCATGTATCAATTAGTTCCTATGTACTTACTGTTAGGATGTACTTACTGTTTGTTGTCAAGTATTGTCAAACAGTCTTACATCAGTAGAAATACCATACCTAATCCATATTTGTTTTTATTAGGAAGTTAACAGAAATCTATAAGCTGTTTTCTTAGATTATATAGAGTTTCTCAAAATTCTTGCAAAGGTTTTGCGGTCTCTAAGCTCTGTTTCAAATGTAAAAATTAATATATACAGAATATTTAAATTAATATTAATTTCATTTCATCAATTGTAAATAGGTTTATTAATATTTTTAGAAACTCTGTTTGACTTAATGATCTGAGATACAACTCACCTAAGAGTTCTATTGCTAAGAGTTCTAATCAATTTTGTTCGATACTCAAGAATTGAACAATCCGACAAAATTTTTATAGCTTAGTCTCACGAAAGATATCTCTTTGCTTATAAAGTCCAATTGATTCAAAAACTGAAGTCCGTAAACCAATCATTACAAAGAGAGTCATTTAAATGGATTATGGAATAATAATAATTAGATGTTGATTTAAAAAAAAAATTATTCATTCCTCATATTAATTTTTTTAATTTGGGATAAAAAAGCATCAAGAAATGTAAATAAAGTAAATTAATGGACAGGTCATTACCAGTAGGACAGGTCATTCATATCAAAAAATTAGTCATTCTCTTCAATGAGAATGCAGAAGTTACGATGAAGTAGAAATAAAAATATATCAAAAATTTCTTCACAAATATCACTATCTGACAAGATAAGACATTCCTTTGATCAAGTATGTCAACTAATCAGCTAGGTAGATCTCAAATATCAATCTTCCAAAGGCAAAGATATTAAAAATATTATAGTATTTTTATAGAATTTATAATCATATAGATAATATAGAAAATAATTATTTCTTTTTAAATATTCAATTTATGTAT